GAACTAATGTTATGCCCACTGAAATTTCTATGCTAACTCGTGTTCTGTCCATGCTTCCTTCTTGTCAAGTGGACGAAGTAGTGATTAACAGGGTTGATGCAGTTTTGCCTCAATGCAGCTTAAGTGATTTGAATAGCTTAGCTACAGCTCTTGTCAGATGGATTCATCATGATCGGGCACATCAGCAAAGCACAGTCAGACCATATGCAAAGCTTCTACAGAAATTAAGTAACTGCGGGTATCAGAGGCTTCAAAAAGCCAGTGACTTGGATGTGTTGCTAGAAGAACTTAGACATATATCTGGAGAATGGTTTGAAGAAATGATCATTGAAGAAACAATAAGTACTTGTCAGCGCTTGATGGACCAAATTACATGGATGAATTTATTAGAATTTTCATCTTTTCTCATGAAAACAAACTATCGCTGTACTCCTTTACTTGATAGAATAGCTTCTGTGGCAGCTCAGCATATAAGCAAGGTACTGACGATACTTCAAGTGTTACTGTAATTTTAATATGTCATAGATTATATACATTCACTTTTAGAAGTTTCGTTCCTGATGATATAATCACATGCACTTCCTTTTTCCTGTAATATTTGTATTGCAGTGCAGTGAGTGTTATTTCTCCTCTTCCAACTTCTTTGTAAATTATTCAGTAATGTGTGGGAAGAACCAAATTAACATAATCTTGGGACTGAAATCAAAGACACAAGGGACCCACTAATTTAAAATTGTTAATTGGCAGTACTTGAGGTTTTACTCTAATTAAGGTGTGAAATAACAAAAGTTTTTCTCCCAGAATGAAAATTTTCCTCAAACTGGTCTCAAAAAGGACAGATGAATTAGTCTCATTTTCAATACAATACAATAGCTCCTGAGAAGAGAGTGACAGTTTTAAGCCTGTTTTATTTACTAGTTGTGTTGTAGTAAGATGAACTAAGATTTTTGATAGGAAGTTGGACATTTCTTTGATTTTGGAAATAAGAAAATAATGTTTATATTGCTATAACTATCTGCTTCTACCATGATAACAGAGACTTTTTAAAAAAGGAAATCATTGGAATTTAAAAGTAGTCCATGTACTCTAGGCTTTTTGCTTCTGAATTAATTACAAACCTCACCATTACAATGCAACATCAGACTGTTTTGAAATTGCTCCTTTTTCACTCTTGAAATGTTTATTTTAATTTTTTTTATCCAGATCTATCCTTCTGGAATCTATACTATTCTCCTCCCCTTTGCTATTATGAATTATGATCCTCCTCAAAGTGAAGAGTTCTTTGAAACTTGCATCCGACATTTTAGTTCTCACTTAGGTAAGTGATGCCAGGTAACGCAAACTCTGAACTGGCAGTTACTCTTTATGCCAGGGCATACATTTAGATATACTTGAGATAAATGGAAAGTGGATTGCTACTGAAACAATTTTATTTTCTTTTTCTAAGTAATGCAGAATTCATTGTGTTTCCCTGGGAGTTTGAAGCCTCTTTTCACCCTTCAGAAACAAGGATGTTAAGAAGCGGGTAACTGGCTAATCGTGTAGTCGATACAATTTGAATCGACTACATGATTAGTTGATAAGGGAAGGCACTTGGTCCTGGCTCATGGGGTGTGAGAGCTACCATTTAAAATGCAGAGCCACAGCGGAGGTAGCTCCTGGACCTGATGTGAGCTGGTAGTGGGTCAGCAGCCCTTTTCCATGGGGGTCCCAGCTCCCCAGTGAGATACCCCACGGACAGGGACTGCTTCACAGCATGTGGAACAACCTCTGCTCATGGCAAGCCTGGGACTGTCTTCACAACAGCCTCTCCTGTACCCCCACAGGGGGGTGGGCAGGCGGCACTATGGAGATAGTGCTGAGGGAAGCCAGTTTTTAAGATTGCTCCCTCCAGCACTGTCTCCTGCTCCTCCGCCCATTGCTGCCTCTGATAGAGAGGCAGCAAGGGGGAAGGGAATGCAAGCAGTTGACTCGACCAGTCGCTTACATCCCTATTCAGAAATCATTGTTGCTATGGGACTAAGAGTATATCTTGAATTGTTGTACAAAGAAAGTGAGAATTTATATTATCTGATTTTCGTGTGGATAAATGGAAGATCCTTTTAAAAAGAATTACTGTGGCTTTTCCTAAAGGGATTGGGATCAAGCACTTGATTATCTGGGGGAGAAGAGAGATCTTGTGGCTGATTATAAGGTGGTGAGCCAGGAAAAGATGAACAAAGAGACAGATTTCTTGACTGATAGTGTAGCTAGAAGGTTGTATGAAAGTTAGCCATGTAATGTTGTAACTTGTTACCTCTTTTAAGACTAGTCAGTTTTCTTCCTGCAGAGAATATGCCATAATTAGGCCAAGCCTTTGTGGAGTCAGAGAAACAAAATACCATTTGGCTGGTTTGACAATCCTAGCTACTAGGAACAATATATATAGCACAGTAATTTCGCAGAGGGGTAACTGTGTTAGTTTGCAATTAAAAAAAAAAACCAACAAAAACTAACAGTCCTGTGGCACTTTAGAGACTAACAAAAATATATCTAGTTACAATCACCTCTGCAACAATCTCCATTGCCAACTCTGTTCACACATCTATACAAGCAACACCATCACAGGACCTAACCCATAAGCCACAACATCAGGGGCTCATACAATTGCACATCCTCTAATGTGATCTATGCCATCAAGTGCCAGCAATGCTCCTCTGCCATATATGATGGCCAAACTGGACTGTCTCTGCTCTAAGAACATGTGAATACCAAGTTGTTCCACATTGTTTTTCCATTCAAGACTATCTAGAGGAGGAACATGCTATAAACAGAGGAAAGTGAGAATTCTTTATCTCATCACATTCAGCTAATTGATTTTTCTAAGGTCATTCTGAATTCTAGATCTTCCCTGATACAAAGGAATGCTATATACCAGGGGTGTCCAAACTTTTTTCAAAGAGGGCCAGATTTGATGAAGTGAACATGCGTGAGGGCCGACCATTTTGCCTGACATTCTTTGAACCATTAAAATTAAATGCAAATTAACTATTTTATGCAAAGTTTATTGCAAACGGCATACTTTTCATTTCGTCACATGGATGACAAATCTAAACAGGTGTTAAATCACTCTGCCTTTCATATCTGAAGGCCAGATGAAAAAAAAATCCAGGAAGCTGAAATATATGTCAGGAACATTGTAAAGTACATTACATATTATTGGTAATAAAGGTTGTCTGTCAACTTTTAAGTTCAAAAAATATGAACAGGAACATAACACCAAGTATACATGTTGTGTCCAAATATATTTATAACTGATTTAGAGCAACTGACATTAACTGAGATTTTACAATGTATTCATCTCAATACATATGGATTCGTTGGGGGCCATAAAAGATAGATATTGCCAAATTACCTGGGGGGCCGTATTAAACCGGAACACGGGCCACAATTGGCCCGCGGGCCGGACTTTGGACATGCCTGCTTTAGGGGAACATTTTAACCTGTCTGGGGATTCATTAATGGATTTAAAAGTAGCCATTCTTATACAAAGGCATTTCACCAGCCAATTACAGAGAACAAGTGCGGAATTGACATTCATCTGCAAATTTGACACTGATTTCCTAGGCTTGGAACAAAGACATTAACTGGATGTCACATTATAAAGCCAGCTTTCCCTGCATTTAACACCTCATTTTTATATCAAAAGCTAAGTATGGGACACTTCCAGCCCACTTAATTAGCTTCATTAGTGCTAGTTCTACAATTGACAGGTACATTTTTTCCCTTTTTTTTCTGTTATAAATTCTAGGTTTCGCTTCAGCTCATCTGAGGAAGTGGATTTTGCCCATGAAAGCTCATGATACCATGTATCTGTATTTGTTAGTCTCTAAGGTGCTACAGGACTACGCATTTTTATAATAATTTTGGTTTATGTTGAAGCAGTTTTATAGCCCTCAGTTGGAAAAGTGAGAAAGCAATGCGCATGTGTAAGTCCTTGTTTTTGTGTGGGTATATTTTACTTGCTTTGATAGTAATGGGAGTCAGGCATTTTAATGGAAGGAAGAATAGAGCTCATTAGACAATTTTCATTAGACTTTTTAACAAATGTATGCAATACAGCCATATAAATGTATGTTTGGTTTTTAAAGGTTGTTTTGAGCCTCATCTCTTGGTGCTGCTCGGTTACTCCTTGGCCATCGCTGAGTATTTTCCCCCAGTCCTGATAAATGCAATATTTAATGTTGATTTCCTAGGCAAACTGGATGCCCAGCTTGAAAGTAGGTATTTATCCCTCTGTTTTTTATTATGCTATTTATAAAGACTGTAAAGCTTTGTATAATAACTTTTACATTGAAAATTATCCTAAATTAATGGTGAAGTAAATGTGTAGATTTAAAAATGATAAATCTTGTAACATTGAAACTCCAGTAACTACAGTCTCTTCCTCCTTTTACGTAATGCCCGCTTTGAAACATGCCAAGCTCGTCCTGGGCAAGGGCACTTAGCACCTCTCAGGACCAAGCTTTTTAGATACAAAATCCTAAGGCCGTGGCCACCAACAAGTTGATTGTGAGGCATTCCGGGCCCCCCATTTTCTCCTATCCCCAAGAAGCCCCACTACCTACCTCGAGCGACAATGAAGGTAGTGGCAGCTTCCCGTGGGGTGGGCGAAAGTCCTGCAGCTGCGTGTCACTTCCGAGGGTTCCGGAAATGCGCTGGCTGCTTCCTTGCCCCAAGTCTGTGGCGTGCCGGGAACTTACCGGGTGAGTCTCCAGAGGTGTGCACTGGGACTTCCCTTCTCTGTAGGAGGTGGGAGTCGGGCCCGGAGGGGGTGCGTGACGGGGTCTTCCCTGCTCCGCGGGAGGCTCATGCCAGCCCTGGCGGTGGTTCGCAATGGGGCTTCCTTCCTCCGCGGGGGGGGGGCAGTACAGGCAGTCCCCGGGTTACGTACAAGATAGGGACTATAGGTTTGTTCTTAAGTTGAATTTGTATGTAAGTCGGAACTGGCTCCAGATTCAGCCGCTGCTGCTGAAACTAACCAGTGGCTGACTACAGGAAGC